AATATTTTAGAAACTAAAAAAATTATACATAAATTTTCTAAAATAGATCATCCATTATCACTATATTCTGAAGTAATAAACAATAAATATACATTATCTGGGCTTGGTAGTCGTGGTCCAGAAGGGTACAAGATTGGGTAGGTATTCTTTGTATGTCATGGCCGCGGCTATATACCCAGTTTGACAATGTGCATATCATATATTAAAGTATAGACACCGGTCGTGATTGTAAATTGACAAATTGTAATTCTGTTAAGTATTGTGGAAGCTATTTAACAGTGAAATACAAACAAACATTAACTACTGTCTCGACAATATTCTTCCGGTCGATATATCCGATATGGTCATTAGGTATAAAAAAAAAGCACTTTGCAATAATGACAGTATAGTTAAAGAACTAATTATTATAACTTGAGTGCTTTGATACCTTACTAATTTTATATATTGTTAGCAGACTAATTTTTAATTTAGTGGAAGGGTACATTAATTAAATAATGACTTACGTTCCATAGCCTTAAAGGTTTCAGTAGTTTTAAACGGTTCCTTCCCAACGCCATCTACTGTTTACCACTGTATTGCAGTTGAATACTTTTTTTTATTAATTTTGTCATAATCGCGCGAACATCATCTTCAATTCTAGTATTTCCAGCCGAGACCATAGTATAATATAGTACAATAAAGATGGTGGTAGTGCAAGTTACAGCTTATGTACCGTCAACACCCAATTCGGAATCTCGGAAAATTCCGGACTTCTTCGGGCAATAAATAGTCCAAGGAAAGTCCAATTGGTACCTAAATATTTTCTCAAAATCTTTTTAACTTAAAACACCTCGTGAGAGCGAGTGAGCATTATCAGTTATTTTGGGAATCCCTGAATATGCATTTTGCTTTTGAACGTAGACAAGTAAGGTTGTCATATTTGTTCAAATTAGAATCTACCAAATTTTGCAGAAAAAAAAAATAAAAATAAATAAATAAATATTACTAACATAATCGCCAACCAGACGTCCGTCCCCATATCATAAAGAATAAACAAACCAAATAGGAAGGGCGGCAAATTTAAGCTTCGCCTTGGGTGGCAGAAATTTACGCTACGCCACTGTCTATAGACACAGTCTAATAAGTTTTAGATCCATGAATAGTTAATTTATTCATCCAACTACATATAACTATTGATGATGATGATGATTCACTACAAAAACCTATTCCTATTACTGTTGAAAAGTAAGAGAGTAATTCTCCTTTTATTTTTTATTAATGTAAAATCATCTTTTCAGCACTCCGTTTTTTATGTCACATTCAACAGATGTTCTTAGAACTTTGCATTTGTTAGTTACCGTGTGTTATTGTTGTTTCAACGCATTAGAAATACGCTGTCGTTACGGTGTTTTCATAAATTTATTATTCTTAATTCCTCTCGCTATTCAACATATTATATTTAGGATATAAACGTTTCAAGTGGAAGCTGTCGGTATAAAAAATACCGTTGCTAAAATGAGCAGTCAGCAAGTGTGATGCAAGGATTAGTGTGGTAGAAAATATTAATCACGATCGCTCATTTAAACGAGGATTAAGGACAATTATGCTAGACACGTTTCCTGTCTCATTATTTATTTATCCAAACAAGTCGTATTTTACTAAGAGGCTACTTCCTTTATTGGTCCTTATTCATTAATGTTAATCGAACACACTTTCCTATAATTGCTTAGTATTAGTTAGTTAGTCGACATGTGCCATGGCGCCAGTCACAAAACCACCTGAGAAAATAGCACATTCGAATCTCTTTACATGAATATTTTAATGTTTAGATTAATTTTCTAAAAGTAGATACATTAGACGGACTGTTGTCGTAACAAAAATTTAGATATACAGTGTGTCTACTTAAGTTGGGAACATATTGAAACCTTTTTTATTATTTATCTTACGAAAACAAGTTACTCATCATACATATGTAAATTAGATAACTTTTACTTAATATATTTGCACAGAAGAAAGACAAATAAACGTAATCCTTTGATCTCACTAATCCATTTTTTACGATAATTTGTAATAATTAGTATTAATCATTCATTATTCACCTTTTTTTTTGTTTTTATTAATGAAATTGCAAGCACAGTAAATTTCAATTTTATTATTTAATTAAAAAAAGAAATCCAACGTGTAACTATACAACACGCTACTGAAGTGAAATTTCTTCAAACGCACAAACATACCGGGATAGGGGTTAAGGAATTGGTTTAATGGTATTATTTGTACACTATGCTTCGCAGGGGTGCAATACTGATAGTAAATATACTTACTATAGAATGTCTTTATACAACAATCACAGCTTTTTTGTCATTAGACAACAGAAACCGGCCGGTACCGCCGCAACCGCTATGTCCCTGCATTTTAAGTCTGTAATATCTTCAAAAATATTCATTTAAATTAAATGCTGTAAATGGCCATATTGATCTATATTAAATACACAATGTATTTAAAAGTACTTAATTGGATAAGGATTAATCCTGTATTGCTTAAAATCGCTTCGTAAATTAGCCATTATTTCTCGTAAAAAGTAAAGGGTAAAAAATGGTTATTGTGGGTAAGAGAGACATATACCATCACAGTATTTTCTTTTACACCTTTTTAAGGTGTACAGTAGGTACTGTAGTATATTATTTTAATCTACCTCGTAGGGTTCAGTCAGCGTTTGCAAGGTAAGCGCAAGAAAATGTGACATCACATTACAAACCTCTAAAATTATCAGTGTTTCTCTACTATATTATGCATGTATTATACATATAAACCTTCCTCTTGAATTACTCTATTTATTAAAAAGAAAACGCATTAAAATCCATTGCCTAGTTTTAACAACAACTCGCATGAAACGAACTTACTCTACCGTGCGTAAAGAAGTTTCACTTCAAAAAGTTAACTTTGAAGTTCATACTTTTAAATAAAACTCTTCCCGAAAAATATTTCTATAGCTACGTCCTTATGCTCAATACCTACAAAATGGATGAAGTGTTTCATTGTTGCCCTGTTTCTCCAGATCTCAAAAACATTTGGTTTTTATCAAATTGGTGTATAATTCTTACGTGTCTGTACATATGTATGCAAAATTGGATAACAGTTGCATTTTGAAACTTATCCGTATTGACGTTATTTACAATTATGGTTTTTAATTAAGGTTATTTTCAGTTTAAATAATAATTAGCGTATCTTGATGTTTGGAAAGTTTCGGATATTAATTCCGGCATTGTTCTGAAGATCTCTAGAATGTTTCAGCCCGTTAACAATTTTGTCCGGATCATAACTTAAGTTGCGCTGGACTGTATAATATTTTTATGATTAAGGAAGTTTCAATATCATACAGTGTGGCTACTTAAGTTGGCAGCATATGGAAACTTTTTTATTATTAATCTTACGAAAAACAGTTAGTCTTTATGAAAAGTCCTGCATGGTCTAAAACATATAATGACATCATCAGACTTAATGATTCATCAGTTACCTAAAAAAACTGAAAGGGGCCGGTATTATTGCTTTTTTGATTTTAAAATTAATATTGATCATTCAGTGAAAGGCTGACAAACATGTCAATTTCACGACAACTTTCATCAGAATTGTATTATTGCTAATGTGCATGCATATGTTTTCACTCATATGGGGCAAAAGAAAAATGTGAAATCATAATTTTAGCAATCGATAGATATGCTTGCACATTTGTAACTACTTTTTAGTTCTCAACAACTCCTATTTATAAAGATATCTGCTATTTTCAAAAATTAAGTTACTTCACTGTTACACAAATTTCATATTTTCTGTTAAAACTTGTATATGATTTATAAATTTTTCAGTCATTATGTGCTTTAGATAATGCAAGAGCTTCTATTAAGAGTAACTTTTTTTCGTAAGATTAATGATAAAAAAGTTTCCCATATGCTGCTAAATTAAGTAGACACACTGTATGAATAGATTTTAAAACTAATAGTATCATTCATTTTCATAAGGTCGTCAGTTCTAAAACTGGTTGGACAGGCACCTCTACTCTTTCGTATCCTGAGCTAATCTTCGCATTTCCCTAAAACTAGAACATCCCACAACTTAATTATTTGCCAACAGTAATCTAATCTAGGTCTACCTCTACCACTCCTAACTCCCGTTTTTGTCTAATACCTATGTCTCTGACTAGACCTTTATGCCTGAAAAGGTATCCTACCAACCTATCTCGCCTATTTTTTATTGACTTCCATAAAGTCCTCTGTTCCCCTATTCTTTCTAATATCTCTTCATTTCCAACCTTCTCTATCCATGGTATCCTCTTCATTCGTCTTAACACCACATTTCGAACGCTCCTAATCTTTTCTTTTCCGCCGCGCCCAATTCAAACATATAGCTTTAACAACCTTTTCCGAATTTATAAATTAACCGTTCGCATGCATTTGACTTCTTTTTATTGAAGGCGACTCGACCTTGTGCTATCCCCTGCTTTATATCCTTAGTACACCTTCCTTCCTGACTTATTTGACTTCCTAGATACCTAAAATCGGTTATTTCTTCTAACTTTTCATTTCCTATTTCTATATTTGCTCTTTCCCTACCTTTTCTTCCCTTTTATACTAATATTGTTGTTTTACTTTTATCGCATCCATTTTATTTAAAGCTATCTCTAACTCCTCCTTGCTAGATGCTAATACTTCTAAGCATACTAATCTTTTGCCCCTCTATATGTATCCCTACAGTTGTATTGTCTTTAATTATGTTGATCGCGTCTTCAATGTATAGATTAAAAAGTGGAGGTGCATCCCTGTCTGACTCCCTTCCTAATATTTACTTCTCTACGTTGCAGCCCCAGCTCTATAACTGCCTGTTACTCTTTATTCAATCTAAGTATCACTCTTCCATCTTTTCAACTCATCCCTACATTTTTTAGTATATTTAACATCTTGTCTCATTTAACATTGTAAAATAAATTAAACATCTAACAACTTAAAATGTATCAATTTTGTCTTTGATAGGTTGGTGTGCGGTGTATTGGCTCTCGGCGCTGAAGTGATTTGCGAGCGTGTACCAGGCTTGACGGCTAGGCAACGGGAAATGTGTCGTACCGCACCGGATGCAATGGTTGCAGTAGGCGACGGAATCCGCATCGCAAGCGCCGAATGTCGCTATCAGTTTCGACATCAACGATGGAATTGCTCTGGCATAAACAACCCCACATCGTTTGGGCACGTTATCACAGTTGGTAAGTAATTTTACAAATCTAGTGCAGTACAAGATTCGTATTAAATTACGAATATCTGCGGGCAATCCAAATGGCGGTTATTAAATTACAATATTACCATATAAAAACTCGATGTCGAGTCTTGTCTTCTTCTCAAGCTTGATAAAAGTCGTGTAGTAGAAGATGAATTAGTTATTACTTAAGGTTTGTTTTTATTTAGATATAGTATAAATGATTAAAAAATGATTTAGCTGGGTACCTACAGTACAATAATTGATGATTCTTTTGTTTGGCTTTCCCCTTTATATTTTCAGTAATTCGAAACGTCTTTCTATTTGTATGGTCCATTCATTACGTCTACATGAAGCAAACCAAATGTTAGAAATAGTAGATTCTAAGAATTAGAAGAGGATTTAAGTTAATAGTATTGCTAAGAATTTCATTCACTGTTTTATTGATTGTCTCTTGTCCTGTTTCACATTTGATTATTTTAGAGGTTAGGATTTTCAAAAATTCATTTTTTTTTACTGTTTAATGCTGCGTGCGACTTTAGCAGAAGGAAAAGTATCTCTACACGCCTTTAAAGGCGGGATAGGGTCAACTGGTCGTATCTAATTGCAGACTTTTTTAAACGAGCGACCAAATTGCGGTCCAAATATAATATTTTCGTTATCCTGACATCTCTTATGATCGACATAATTGCGGATGAAATTTCAGAATGGGTAATGTTACAAAAAGTAAAATTCTTAAGATGCTTTATTTGGTTCGTAGTTAGGATGTTTTCGGGAAAAAAAATTCTAAACATCAATAGCACCTGTTTCAGCCGCTTGGAATTAAGAGGGTAGAATGAATTATTGAAAAATCAAAAGTTAAGAGATACTTTTCTGCGGATTCACAATAAAATATCATCTGCACTATTCATGAATAGTGTAACTATCTATCAGTATATTAACCCAAGTGATGGAGAAGATGCGGCTTCTGTGAGCTTCTTCTGTTGCCTTCATGAAAAAAAAAGAACTAAAAAAGAAGCTTTTGGGTGTTTCATTCCCATCAGCCAGTAATGCCAGTGGAGGGCAGTCCCTTCGGACTACGCCATAAGGTAGGGCTGAAGACTCTCTTCAGTCTTCTTTCAGGAATCGTGGAAATGGGTGGGTGGTGGTTTTTATGAGAAAGAAGATGAGACGGAAGAAATGAAGACAGAAGGGAATGAAATATTTTGTACTGTTAACTACCTGTCTATACATTAAATCTAAGTTCTTCTGTTATAAACTTTATTGTGTTAATCTTTATAAACACTCAACTCAAACCACATAGAATGGATACTCCATTATAACTACTTTAGGACATACTACTAAAAGCCGAGGGCACAGGAAAAGTGGGAGGTGTACTACTGTCTGTCGTAGAAGTATTTGTTCATATAAACTAAAGGTCGAGACGTACACTTTTGGGTGTTTTATTTCAACCAGCGACCAATACGGCGGCAGGCCCTCTTCAATCACCTTGTTAGGAATCGTGGGAATGGGTAGATGTTGGATTATCTGTGAAACATTAATACTCAAACAACTGCATAAGCGATTTAAGGAAATTACAGAAAAAAATCGGACTAGGTCAGATGGATCCGGAATTGAACCGAATACTAAGCAATCACCTCTAGGCCATACCGCTTGGTAGGTCTAAATAAAAAAAGAAGATAAGCTTTCGGGTGTTTTATTCCCATCAGCCAGTAATGCTGATGGGCAGGAGGCCCCTTCGCACTACGCCGAAATGTAGGGCGGAAGACCCTCTTCAATCTCTTTTCAGGAATCGTGAGAATAGGTGGATGGTGGTTCGGGTGAGAAAGATGAGACGGAAGAAGTGAAGACAGAAAAGAATGAAAGATTATTTATGGAATATTACTGCTCCAGTATTTGCCTAAGTGATCCAAGGAAACCACAGAAAAGCATGGACCAAGGCAGACGGGCCTGGAATCGAATCGGTGTTCTCTCAAATGCTACGCAATGGTCTAAACCTCTAAGCTATGCCGCTCGAGAATTAGGTTACTAACATGCTGCCATCTGTTGAGCAATCAATACGAATCACAATGCTGTAATGCTTCTCATTTTTACTTAATATTATCGATAACTTTTAATATAAAAATTCCTTTCTTCTTTAATAATTTCTTTATATCTGTAGGACTGTGCGCTTAAGAGTTATAACGGTGTCGTGTGTTATGGTTGTATACATTCACGCATAGAGCGGTGCACGTGTGACTGTATAGGAGAAAAAGCTCTGTCAGACTGTTCCACGGTTGCATCCTCAGTTCCTACTGCCAAACCTGGCAAAAGGTAGCTTTTTTACATCGTGTTTGATATTTGTTTCGTTTTACACAATTATTAAACAAAAGCTGAATTTATTCTGAAGTAGAACCCCTACTAATTTTATCGCCACTGGTTTGTAGGTGTCCATATTTTGCGAATTAAACGAAATATTACTTAAGTCATATAAGTAACAGTTGTATTAAACCACCTTTGGCTGCATATATACATACTCTAGCGGCAACGCCTCTGCTTTATTTCAAGTGAGGTTTTGATTCTACTCCAAATACATTTGCACCTTCTGATTGTATCAATTAGAGTGCAGTTTGTTTCGACATGTGGTTAACCATTTACGACAATCTCGAACATTTATACTCTTATCCCACACACTGTCACTATGTTTAAATCACTGCCTGTCAAATCGGGCGGTCCTGAATTAGATAACTTGTTTGCAGCAATTAGTTGTTTACTTGTAACTGTTTTTTAATTAGTCAACGCAGTTTTTTTTTTAATTACAGATGTAGCGATAATTTAGTCAATGAAAATTCATCAGTTTTTCGTACAAATATGTAACACGAAGAAATAGCAATGCTCGGATTAATGTCATGTGGTCTAATTGAAAGGAAATAAATAAAATATTGGCAATCAATTTTATTTAAGTGTATCCAGTCATTAAAGAGAAATCAGAAGGTAATAAAAGTGGGAGTAATAATTTTAGCTTTGGAGAATCAACAAACGTATTTAAAATATATAAATTAAATTTTCATAAAGTCTAGGTTAATAATGAGACAAAATTGTGTCAAGTGGTACATATTGAAATCATTCCCCATTTCTTTTTCTCAATTTTAATGAATAAAAAAAGAAAATGGTGTGTGTAACTACTTTATGCACGCTTTATTATATATTTACTCAGCCAGAATTCACACGGTGTGTCATTTAAAACTTTAACTAGCAAGCGTTCTATGCGTACTTGCATTACCTTACTTGCAAACTCGGAAGAAATCTTGTTACAGAGTAAATCCAGTCCAAATTGTGTCATTGTGTCATTACGCAAAAAATTACACGATTATTTGCATGGCAATTTATTTTTTACACTTCAATAAAGGAAATACCACAAATGGCGCTGTAAACGCCATCTGTAGTACGATGCTACATTTTAGGATTTCGTATGTTACAACAAGGTCCATTTAAATATATGGATATCTACTTGCTGAAATGAATCCCGGCGTAGCTAATCGCAACGTGATAGGCACGTTACCATTTAAAATACTAAAATGTAGGATCGTACTACAGATGGCGTTTACCGCGCCATTTGTGGTATTTTATAAAACGTGCTGTTAAGGCAGCAGGTAAAAGTTGGTCTGTGTTCTGTCGGAGCTGTCTGCGACGCGCTGAAGAGATCCAAAAAGATCGAAATCGCGATCCGCGTCTGGCAATTTCGACAGAATACAGACCACTTCGAATTATTTTAATAAGTTTTATAAAGCAAAATAATATTTACCTTTGCACTAGTACGTTAGCCATTTGCCAACCTACAGCATGACTAATATGCCAAAAGCAGACCGTATAGTTTAGACCAGGCCGTCTTAAGCTATTGGTCGCGACCCCAAATGGGGTCGCGTAGCAAAACTCTGGTGTCCCAAGAGATTTGAATGTACATTGTTACCTAATAAATAAACCATCAAAGAGTATTTATTTATCTTTCTTTTATATTTATATGGGGTCGCCAGGAAACACATAATCATAAATGGGGTCGTGAATGAAAAAAGTTTAAGAAGCCTTGGTTTAGACAATTTATCTGACTTATCACTAATCGTAGTTCACTCTAATGATATTTAGATATTGTTACTTTGTTGTCTTTGTCCGTTAAAACGAATTCACAATTTATCGATTTAACAATTCTATGTATAATTTCGAAGCATCCTACCGGCTATTTTATCGTTTTTAGGTCAAAGTCAGTGGTCAATATAGGCGCATGACCCGCTCCGCGTACTATATTTTTCATCTATATTATGTTAGCTTGCCGAGCTCTAATTTCTGAACAGATTGTAGTACTGACAGTGCTGACGAAAATGCTCCGATAGTTTGAAATGTAACGAAGATTTCTATAGGCAGGATCCTCGATCCCATTAGAACGATCCAAAAGTCCAAAAAAACATAATCTGCAAAGTACTTAATCGAACCGGTTTCCGTTCTGTTGGAAGAATGAATTACATTCTTTCATTAGATATATACACCTATCTATACGAGGTGTAACAGAAATAAGTGCCGAGTTTTGGAGGGTGTAGACTAGATTCTATAATCAATTATATGGCGACGTCAGCAGCGCTGTTAAGGGCAATCTTTTTTTAAGAAAATCACAATAGTTTTCAATCCGAAGCCGGTCCTGTGCGTGAATTGACAATGTAGGTATCTAATACTAAATTAGTGTACTGTAGCTACATGGATGGAGAAGTTAACATTGCCGATTAATTAATGTCTAAGATAAACAAATAAACATAAACAGTTTACGTACATTACAACAGAGCCGGGCAAACTTTAACTTCGCAGGAGCCGCTACATGAGGTTAGTTTAAGTCATTCCATACCCTTCGATGAGTATGAGAGAGTAAGCAGTAATAAATAATTTTGTTTTGTCTTTTTCTTCTCCCTTCCACTCCCATATCAAACCCCCTCATCCCGTAGAGAAGCGAAGCCTCTCACGCAACTTAAATAATACCTACGAAAA